AAATACTAATAACTTAATTAGTTGGTAGTATTAGTAACGTTAAGTACGTCGTCTCCCTTAACCTACGTAAACCAACTTAGTAAATAACCTAACGAGAACTCTCTCTCTCTCTCTCTCTCTCTCTCTCTCTCTCTCTGAGTCGGACGCACGTGCCTTAGAAATCAATCATTCCAAAATTCCAAGAATCAAATCTTATTCAGTATCAAGTCCCAAAAATTAAAGATAAGAAACAAAAATCTATATTAACATACGAATATTGTCCCAAAACTCAAAAAGTTTTCATAGTTACAAATCTAAATGGCTGGCAGAGCTGCAAACTCAGCAAATGAGGGAGGTCAAGGGTTCCTTGTCCCTCAAAGAAACCACCTTACCTGCCCCCAAAGGGGGCCCAAGTTAACACTAAAAGCCTGTGGATCTATAATCCCCAAGGCTTGTGCACGCTGATCTGATTCCTGTCCATGGTACCAACGGCACTCCAACGGCTTTTTCAGAGAATTCCAAAGGTGCATAGAGTGCCTAAGAAGCATTAGATCTATGTTTGCGTTCTGGCCACAAACATAGATCAAAAAATCCATAACCATCAATATCTTTTTTTGGAGAGAGAGAGATACTGAAATCCACAACATTAAACTCATAAACTCCATAACAAGCCACATTGAACGGTATATTTAGCCACATTCACTGTTTTACCTTCAAGGCACTTAAGCCAGGCCATCAACAAACGGAATATCTTATCAGAACTCCATGTTTTCTCCATCATTAACATCAACCATATCCGCATCCACAAGGGTCTGCTCAGTCGCATACAAATACTCCTATGAAGCAGAGCTCTAAACCTTTCAAAAATATGAAATAATAACCAAGGAAAGGGTGCTAAAATGAAAAAAGTGACCTGGAGTTCCTGTTCATAGCATTTGAGCTTTTCAGTGCAGCCCCTAACTTGCAGGAAACACCTTTGCATCTGCCCAATTTGCAGAAACATTACTTAGTCCACCAAGTTTCACAACATGTTAATTATTTGAGGAAAAAGAGAAAATGAATTATTTTGGATGGTTGATAAGCTAGCATTCAAGCAGAAGATCATAGCTGTAGATCCTTGTGCCCTCACAACTACAACAAGAGGGACCAAGCGCGCACAGAGAGAGAGAGAGAGAATACATAAATCATTGTCATTTAGGATGACATTATCAATACATAAAATGGAGTCAACTTATTCAGACAATATATTGTCTTCCTAAAGTTGACAAGAAAACATTGCAACTTAACCTTGGTTAATTGAGCCTGGCGATGCAATTTGAGCATTTTTGTGGCTGCCAGTGACTCTTCAAGTTTCTGTATTCCCCAATGAATCAAGTGGATGCACATTAAAAAAAAAAAAGGATGAGAATGAAGAGCATCATCAAATCAGATGAAGTCAGGCAAAACCATATTATAAAAACGAATCTCAGTACTTATTCTTTCTGAGAACAAGCCATCATATACAGAATATATCAAACTAGCACAAGGATGCAAGAGATATTCTGTTTTGAAGAGAGCCTTCAAACCTGGGTATTCTTTTGTAGTTCTAAAACAAGCTGCTGCTTTTCCTCGAATTTCTCTTCCATCTGATCGATCTGATGAATTATTTACAATCAGACAAGTTCCCATTACTTAATTGATGTAGGAAAAACCAGATAAAAGATAGAAGAAACCCATTGAAAAAATCTAAAAGATAGAAAAATCTATTGTCCTTAGTCCTTACTATACTAAAGTTCAACTTACATGAAGCATAGAGAAGCATTGTTCCCTAAGACATGGCCCAAGACAAAAATACTTGTTCTTCTTATTGTCAGTAAATACTAGAACAATCTATAAGGTATTTTAACTTTATTAATAAGTGTAACTTAGCAAATTAATTCACATCCAAACTGGTACTAGATGAACATGGGAACAATCAGCTGTGTGGCTATTGACACAGGTAGACTGAACTTGCAGCTGCACCTGCTGAAAGGGGTCAATCTGAATGGCAAAAATTTGGAGTTCAAAACCTCATAACATTTTGCTTTAGTTGCTTGACGATGGTGCATCTAGCTGTCCCTTGCAAAGGATTTCTTCTTTAACTAAGTCTAACAAATTTTTAATACTATTAGTGAATGAAAATGGTAGGGGACCTCTCCCCATCTTACCCCAAAAAGATGGCATCACATTGCAATTTATACCTAAAGAAATTGGTTACATACAAGACACAATATACTGCCCATTTATAAACTCCCTAACAAATTGGACATAAGAATAACCTACGACGATTCTCATCCCTACAGCTTCCAATGCAAATGGCCAGAGTAAAGGAAAACAAAAAAAAGCGCCTGGCAGATTGTTTGCTCTATATGCGCATTGGGTTCACCTGAAGAAGCCCAAGAAGTGCTGTTTTTTTTCTTTTTATTTTATTCTTCCTTCCGTTTCAAATAGAGGTTCAAGCCAAATTGTTCAACTGAAGTAAGTGAAGACTTAAAAGACAGTTCCAATTTTTAAAGTAGATAAATGCCCTTATGCATCACAAATTTCAAAGAATATAGACCAGAATACAACAGTAATGAAAAGAACCATCTTATTTTATTTTTTTTCTTTGGGGGGATAAGGGGTCGTTCAGCATGGAAAATGAACTTTACGCATGGTAAGAATAGAACTCAAGACATCACGTTGTAGCGCCTGCCAAATTAACCACTTAGCCTTAAGCCCGTTCCTAATGACAAGAACCTATTCCCTCAAAAAAAAGCACTAAAAAGAACGTCGACCTGTCTCTAACAAGAACATAGCTATCGATGCACTAAACCTTCCAATAAATAATATAGAAGTTTTTCATTTTGAAAAATGTAGGGTTTTAGAGCGTCAGCTGATGCACCTCTTAAAATGTGCCTGCCTTCCAAAATCAATCTTAGAGATGCATATCAGATCCAATATTTTAACAGGTCGCTAATCTCCAACAACCACGATCACAAAATTTGAACCCTCAAAATAATATATTTAAACTTTTCTTTTGACCATTCAATTCTTCACAGATCATAATCTGCACCATTTTTTGAAGCTCCAAATGCATGGATCCAAAGTGGCAAATTGCTGTGATCTAGGATGTGATTCATATCCTAAATCCATGGAAACCTGAAAGCACTCATAAGTTGGCCAACGCACAATAAACTTTCCCTTTTCAAACTAACAAACACAGACCCAAATTCATGCAGCTTATCTTCCCTGCAAATTAAGTACGGCACATTAGGTACGCATGAAAAATACTTCCATGAAAGTATCTTCATGTGAAAAAACTCCCTCAAGTGATTAGGTGGGGGAGTTTTTTCACATCAATTGGCTGCCAATTAGTGTGAAAAAAATGCATTGCGACTAATCACATGAGATAGTTTCTTCACATGAAAATACTTTCACCGATGTATTTTGACACATATCAAACATGACCTAATGGATAACACAAGAAGCACCCCAACCATCACATTTACGAGATCTCTGCAGTCTTCTATAACTCATATGCTAAAGTTAAATAACCACATAACAAGTAGGAATTAGCTCAATGTTCATAAAATAAAGTAATAGCATACTATTAATAACACTCTTGAAATAAGGTAAGGACACAGTTTCTATGAGTCCATGTAGAAATGAGTAACCTCTTAAAAATCTATTTTTGAAATGGATTTTTGGACTTAATTTTTAAGGAAATGTAATCTCTAACATGGAGATCATGAATATGAAAAAATAAATAAATTTGAAAATTAGAAATAATAATTCAATTAAAAAAATATTTGGACCGTTAGTTTCAATTGTTTTTAGATGGACCACCTATGTGCATCCATCTTTAAGATGGATGCTTTATACCTTGGGACCGCATATTGTAGAAATGCGATCCAGCCAGCATGAAACAATTTTCCATAAAGTAATAGCATAATATCAATAATACATTAGATACATCAGCATCATCTTTAAAGCGTTTACTCAAAGAATCTACATAAACCACACATACCTCCCTCTGAAGCTCATTGTGCCTTTTAATGGCTCCATCTAATTCCTCCTTCACCTGAATACAACAGGGGAAATGCTAATGAATGCAAATGGGAGTCATCCTCATCAATGAGGAGAACATCAATACCACTCAAATAAGTCCCTATCGTCAAATGTGATGTTTATTTACCTGGTCTTGGTAATCGCTCGAGTTTGATGACAGCTCCCTCTCCCTCATTGGGCGCTCATCAAAACTGCTAACAGAAACCAAGGAGGACTAACAAAAGTTATTACCTATGTACTCTTAAAATAAATAAAACTAAAACTAACAACTCAAATTCGAGTCAAAGAAAATTGGATTCCAAATGAGATCCTTGAGTGAACTAATGAAAACAATTAAAATATTCTTACTTTGATAGATCACTATCAGAAGCATGGAACATTATCCAGCATGTATTAAAACTAAAAATTTTAGATGCAAGATACATGCAATATGTGAAATGGCTGCAATAAACATCAAATAGATAACAATGAAACCTTAATATTCTATTCTAGTTTATTTGAAGAAAGAAAAATTTATCAAGTGATCTAGGACAATCCAACAAGATTTGTTCCAATGACATGCATGTTACCATCCATAAAAAGGGCAAGAAGACAGTTTATGACCAAACCAAGCTACTGTCACAACCCAAAACCCTATTCAACCTAATGCATAAACTTTGCAGGAATCCTATCAGTAGATATTGCTAAGATTGAGAGAAAAGCGAGAGTAAACTCAAGCACAAGATAAAGAAAGTATAGATGTCTTTCCTCTCTATTCGAATCATGGGGCAATGTGCCATATATAAACACAAATCCCTATAGGAGTTACAACATATTATGCATGACAGATACGTGGTTATTATAACCCATTATGCAAGACTGTTACAAGGCTGTTACAGACCATTATGCAAGATTGTTACATGATTTTTAAATCCCATTATGGAAGACTGTTACATGGCTGTTATAGCCCATTATTCAAGACTGGTGCATGGCTGTTACAACCCATTATACAAGACTATTACAATCACCACACTCCCCCTCAAGCTGGAGAATATATATCATAGATGCCCAATTTGTCCAAAGTATCATTTAGTCGAACTCAATTTGAGGACCTAGTAAGTATGTCTGCCAAATGACTCTCAAATCAAACAAATGGAGTACATACTGTTTTTGCAATGACCTTTTCACTAATAACGTTACAGCCAATTTTAATATACTTGGTTCTTTCATGAAATACAGGATTTAAAGCAATATAGATTGCCACTTTATTATCACAATGTAGAGGAATAGGAGCTAATACATTAACCCCCATCTTTTGAAGAAGAGAATGGAGCCAAATTATTTCACATGTAGCACTTGCCTTTGCTCAATACTCGGCTTCTGCTGAAGATTGAGCTATAACACTACTTACTCTTCCAGGTGACTAAATTACCACCCACTGTCATAAAGTAGCTACTGACGGATCGTTGATCAAGAGAACACCCAGCCCAATCTGCATCGCAAAAACCTTGCACGTCAAGGTCACCATGGCTGGTATAAAGTAGCCCTCACCCCTGGAGCAGATTTCAAGTACCGTAAAATGAGATAAACAACATCTAAGTGATGGGAGGATGCCGCTTAATGAACTGACTTGTCACACTTACAACATATGTAATGTCTAGCCGTGTGACAGTCAAATAAATGAGTCTACTCACTAATCTCTAATATGCACCAGGATTACTCTAAGGCTCTGGCTGTTGATCATACAATCTTTGGATAACCTCAATAGAAGGTTTTGCCAGTTTGGCTCCAAGCATTCACGTGTCATTGAGAAGATCAATAGTAGACTTTCTTTGAGAAAAAATATTCCTTATTTAGACCTAGCCACCTCTATTCTAAGGAAGTATTTCAATGGACCAAGATACTTGATGCCAAAAACAGCCCACAAGAAATCTCTCATTTTTTGATCTCATGATCATTATTTCCTGTGAGCACTATATGATGCACATACACTATTACTATTGTGGCAGATCAAGAATCTCTTTTAACAAATACCAAATGATTTGAAGCACTTCTCCGAAATCCGCTGCCATATTGAAATTTGTTTTGAACCAAGCCCGAGGTGATTGTTTCAATCCATATATAGCTGTTCTCAAATTTACAGACCTTCCCTTTCTCCCTCTAAGGATAAAACCTAAGTGGTAATGCCATATACACTTCCTCTTACAGATCCCCATGAAGAAAAGCATTCTTCACGTCTAACTGGTGGAGTGGCCATTTCATATTTACTGCAATAGATAAAAGAACTTGTACTAATTCAATTTTGCTACAGGAGCAAAAGTCTCTTCATATTCAACCCCATATAACTATGTAAAACCCTTAGCGACCAAATGGTCGTTATATCTCTCAATCGAACCATCTGGTTTGTGCTTCAGGGTATTCACCCACCTGCATCCAACAACATGTCTTTACGACCAATCAATGATATCCCAAGTTTGCGGCTTCTCTAAGGCAATCATTTCCTCAATCGTGGCTGCTTCCATGGTGGACGAGCTAATGCATCCGCAACTTTGGTAGGAATAGGAACACAGGAAGTGGAGCAAAGGTATGAATAAAAGGAAGGTAAAAGTGAATCATAAGAAACAAACTTACTGATTGGATGAGAAGTACAAGTCCTTTTTTCTTTTCTTACAGCAGTAGGTAAATTCAATTGTGAAGAAATAGGGGTAAAAGGAGAAGTACCTGACGAGTCAACGAGTTGGGGTTTGATTGTTTCCATTGGAATTTCCCTGCTTCTATTTCTGGGTGTACACTTTCAATTGTTTCTCAATAGATTCCACATGTTCCTTGGTTGGATTACTGGAGCTATTTATGATTATTGGCAGAAGAATAGGATTGTCAGGTGGCCTAGTGGATATTGAATCTCTTTCGGAAGAAAAAGGGGTATATTCTCAAAACACATAACATCCTTTGAGATATTTTCTTTTAGTTTCTGGACAGTAACACTTGTATCCTTTCTGAGAGTTCAAGTATCATAGGAACACACCTCTAGCAGATTGAGGTCCTAGTTTATTCCTAGATGGCCCTTGGGTATGCACAAAGCCGACACAACCAAAGGCTTTTTGGTGGAAGCAAGGTTTCAAAAAACGCTAGGCGGCCCCTAGGCGGCCTGCCTGGCGCCCAACGCCTAAGCGGGCGCCTAGAACCTCGGGCGCCCCGTAATTTAAAAAAAACAAAAAACGCCTAGCCCTCCCAAGTACATCCGCCTGGGTGCCCGCCCAGGTACATCTGCCTGTGCAGGGCCGGCTGGGTCTAGGCGGGCGGATTTTTGGTCCAGGGCGCCTAGGCGCTAGGCGGACCATTTTTTAAAACATTGGGTGGAAGAGAAAACAAAGGAAGTGCATCAAGGAGAAGTTTGAAAGGATAAGCACCACAAAAAAGAGGAAGGCATTCTATTGTTCATATAGCCAGTAGTAAGAACTGTTTCATCCCAATATGGCTTAGTAACCTTCATTCCTATTAAGATGCCTCTCACTACTTCTAACCAGTGTCTATATTTGCATTTTGCCACACCATTCCGTTGTGGTGTGTAGGAGAACAATATTTGAGTTTCTATACCATGTTCAAGAAAACAATTTTTTAACAGGATAAATACTTTGGTGTGTTATCAGAACAAGAAAAAAAAATTTGAGACTCAAACTAGGTCAAAACCCATTTTATGAAATATTTTACTATTGAAGGTACTTCATCTCTGCTTTTCATAAGATAGATCCAAGTATAACAAGAGTAGTCATCAATGAACGAGATAAAAAAATACTGATATCAAAAACAGAAATCACTAGAGCAGACCCCCAAACATCAGAATGAACAAGATGGAATGGCTTAGAATTGTTATTTTCATGTGGCCTAAGCAGATGTGCTATAAGAGGAGTTGCTTATGACTACAAGACTCAGTGCAGAGAGCAGTAGAAGTGCATCCTGTGTTGAACAGGTACAACCCATTTTCTTCACAACCACCATCAATCGTCTTTCTCATTTTCAGGTCTTGCAAAACACAACGTTAGGCGTAAAATTTGACACTGCAGTTTACTTTTTTTTGTCAAGTTGCTAACAACAAGAAGATTGAAAAGAAATAAGGCACATGTATTACAAAGAGCAAGGACAAGGATGATCAAAGTTTGTAAGTACCACTCCCAGAGGCAATGGTTGGTCATGGATCCATCAGCAAGTTTAACTTCGCTAAAAGCAGGAGAAAAAGAAAAGAAACCAACTTTCTTACCAATCATGTGGTCAATAACCCTTGAATCAATGATCTAGGGTGTAGAAGAGGTGGAGTTCGAGGCATGGTTTGCAGTTGCAAATCTACCTAGCTGCTTTACCGGTGTCTAGGAGCTGAGTGAAGCATTGAGAGCAGTCGATTGGTGGTGTAAATTTGTGATGGCCTGATCTCTTGGATCAGGTTCATTGCATTGTGTGGCTAAGGTTTCCTCCCGCTCACTCAATACAATATGGGCACTTGCATTCCTTGGTTTCGGTGGCAAGTGTGGATGCAAGTCCCAATAATGCTCTCAAGGGTATCTCTTACCACAATGGGAGCATTTGAGTTTCTCCTTTTCGATAGGAGAGAGTGGGGCACAATTTGGTCCTTTTGTACCTGCTTTTCCTTGCTTGAAGCTTATTGCAAAGGCTGATCGTTCAAAATGGATGCTTGAGTTTTGTACTTCTGCAATAGCCTTTCCACTAGCCTCCCCTCTTACATAAATATAAATGAATTCAAGAGAGGGCAATTTGTCCTTGCCTAGAACTTTTATTCTCTGAAGTTCAAAGTCAGTATGTAGGTCTAGTAAGAACTCAAAGATCCTTCGTTGTTCAGCATGGTTCTTAACGTCATCAACGATGGGATGAATAAGCTGATAGTGGTCTAATTCTTTCCACTTATGCCTTAATATCCTAAAGTACTCTTCCACAGTCATTTTTTCTTTTGTTGCAAATTCGCTATTTCACGATGCAATTAGTAAAGCCATATCATCTCCTCGTATGTCTTGGCTATTGCCTCCCATATATCGTTTGTAATCTTAGAAAATAGCAACCCCCTGCTGATACTTGGCTACATGGAATGAAGGAGCCATGCCATTACTGTCAAGTTCTCACTTTCCCATTCATCATGGGATGGATCATCTATGGGAGGCTCTCTCACTCAAGGATTCAAAAAACAGACCACTCGGCGCCTAGGCGCCCAAGATCCTAAACACCACACCCGCAGGGCCTAAGCAGTCCATTCTGGGAGGGCGTCCAGGGCCGTGGGCCCTTATTCGTATTTTTTAATTGCCTCAAAGGGAAAAAGGGATTATTTTGACCCTCAAGATAGTATAAATATGTTATGGGGGTTATTTTTAATCTCCCAAAGTTAAAAAACAACCTCAATCTCTTTGTTATACCTATTTCTTAGATCGAAAGCATTTTATGAGAATCGAAAGTATTTTTTGTGGATTGAAAAAGTTTCCTAACCGTTTTTTTCTCATTAAAATTTTGAAATGTTGAACAAGTTTATTCTCAACACGTGATATGTCATATGTTTGTGTATAAAAAGCATGTTACAATATTTTCAAATGCAAATTAATTACAAATTTGACATAAATATATGCATATATGTGCATTTGGACAGCAAATATATGCATGTATCTTTATAAAAATTGTACCACAAGTGGCCCAAGGTTTTGGACGCCTGCCTGGGCATTGGGCGCTAAGCACCAGGCCGGCCGCCTACCATTTTTGAAACCTTGTTCTCACTTTCCCTGTTATATAACCCACTTCCATCCGGCTTCCCATGAACATTTTGGCAAATTGGGACTAGTTTAAGTATTTTGTTCCATCTAGATAAACTATAGTAATCATCAATCCTGTATGGTTAGATTGACTGATCCCGAGGAAATATTGTGCTTAATACATTTTCCTTCTCCCTTGAACTAGAACCCTAAGGTTAACTCCCAAAACATGAAACCCTAAGGTTTTTTTTTTCTTTTTTCAAGGTACTAATTCCATAGTTTCAAATGTGAGGTTGATGGAAATGTAAGATCGCTGGAAATATGAGGCCGCTGGAAATATGAGATTGCCAGAAATATGATGTTGCGGGAAATATGAGGTTGCTGAAAAAGAAAGGAAGTTGGGATGAAAGCTTTCTTATTGGTAAAAGAAAGTGAGATGATCGTGCTAGAAATATGAGGTTGCTGATACACCACAACTTCAAGCCTAGTTAGGAAGAAAAATGATGATTCTAGGGTCACCAAAAATACTAGATATCCTAGGGTTTAAATCTCTGCTCTGATAACATGTTCAAATTGAGAGAGAAAAGAAAGAAAGTAAACTCAAGCATGTGATAAAGAAATTATAGATGTCCTTTCACTCTAGTCAAATTGTGGGGCAATGTGCCTTATATACATATGGATCTCTATGGGAGTTACAGGCCATTATGCATGATTGTTACATGGTTGTTCCCATTATGCAAAACTGTAAAATGGCTGTTATAGCCCATTACACAAGATTGTTACATGGCTTTCTTTTATAGCGCACTATGCAAGACTATTACATGGTTTTTAAAGCCCACTATACAAGACTGTTACAAGGCTATTACAATCCATTATACAAGATTGTTTCATGACTATTAGAGTTATTACACATACTAATTTAAGGGGTAATAGCATTCCCCTGCATGACCACAGCAATGGTGGAAAAAAAAGAGTCACTTTTGTATCTCTATCCCATGGATACCACATTCCTTGCAACAGAAAAAGCCTAGTCATTGTATATGACACTATAAGTCTTCTAGTCTGAACAGAAGGGCATATTACGAAATATGACTGCAACAATAAATCATTTTTTTGGGTCAATAAGTTGATAACTGCAATTTAATACAATTTATAAAAATGATAACATGTAAAAAACAAAGCAACTGAGGTGTGCCAAGGAGATGAAAGGTGAATCTCAATGACTTCTATGGTCCACCTCACTGTTAATAGCGAGTGCAATTGCAGCAATGACAGCACATGAAAATCAAGAGAATGCCATCAGATATGAAAATTATCCTACAATTGCCAATGATTTCCATTGGTAAAACAGTCCACATGCATTGCAACACAGCAACCACCAGATCACTTTTCTAGCAATTGACTTCTATGGTACACCTCTACAAGAAGAATAACATGCTGCACACTGTTAGTAGCGAGTGCAACGGAAGCAGTGATAGCACATGAAAATCAAGAGAATGCCATCAGATACGAAAATTATCCTTCAACTGCCAATGATTTCCATTCAGTACAACAGGCCTCATGCATTGTGAGACAAACACCAGATCACTTTTTTAGCAGAAGGCACTGGTGTCTTATAAAGTAGCAACACAGCACCCAATAAACTTAGACCAGTCCCATTATCTTCCTAAGTCTCCCACATTTGGAAGAACCAGCTCTATAAAATTCTAAAAAATTGAAGCTACCCCCTTACATAATCAGAGAGTAATTTAATAACCCTATAGGACAATGAAGGCACTCCTCAGGACTCAAAAGCATGTGCAGCCCAGCCTATGAGAAGTTCTAGAGACTGCAGACTAGTACCATTGTGAATTTGTGATGGACGAGAATGCAAGCCCCCCATCAAGCAAGTACTCAAGTATAAGGCTTTGAACCAAGTCAAGCCACAAAAACCACCTCTAATAACTACCTTTCACAAGGAGTAGAAGCTTTCTGATACTTTATACCAGCCTGAATACATCTTTTAAAGTCAGACAAGAACCAAGAGTCTATATTGCCAAAGACCATGCTATTACGAACTAACAATCCAAGGAAATATATAGCTACTGTAGAAACAGAAAAAAAATTAAGTCAAGAGCTGGAACTTCTAGTTCGGTCACAAGAGTGATGCAACCAATCAAGAACAAGATCCGTAGCATCAAGAACAAGATCCATAAGAAACTTGCAATCAAATCATGGCAGTATTGTCAAGTTGCACCAAGTCTAAACACAAGGCATACACTAGGAAATAGGGAACTCAAGGGAAAACAGAAACAACAAACTTTTCATGGTTCACTATTCACAACTGAACTCATATGAGCAATGGCAAAGGAATATGATGACAAACAGAAGCCCTTGCTTGTGCAATGGCATATCTTGCTCATCGTTCCAAAACATAAAGGAGAATTCTACCGAAGTCAATAATAAGTTCATTTGGACAACCACATCCAGGTTAGGCCTATGTTTTGAGGCTGGGATATTTTAATTTAGTTTATTTCTCATCTTGATTTTATAGACCCTCCAGGTGTTGTACTAGCAGAGAAATAAACATATGCCCAGATTTATAATAAGAAAATAGTATAGACTGAAACAAGTACAAAAACTTCAATGCGAATAGCAGCGATACTCACCCAAGTCGATTCTTTGGCCGATGCTCTTTATCTTTGTCCTTATCTCTGTTCCTATCATGATCTTTGTTTCTTTCAGTATCTCTTTTGACAATGTTCCTTTCAATGTCCCTATCCTGGTCCCAATCAAGACCATGCTCACTGTCCCAATCTCGGTCATGGGTTCGATTGCCATCGAGATCATGATCTTTCTCTCTATCACGGTCAAGGGAATTATCCTTCATGCGATTATAATCATGGCCACGATCATAATCTCTCTCTCGTTCTCTATCCTGCTCACGCAGTCTGCCATTGTTTCTGTCCCTATACCGATCTCTATCATGATCCTGATCCCGGTCTCTATCCCTGTCTCTGTCCCAATCTATGTCCCTTCCAATATCTCTGTTAAAATTTTCACGGTGAAAATTGGGCCTATTTCTGCTCCTCACTTCATTTACTCTCACAGGTCTTCCACCAATAGTCTGATTGAGAGCTTTACATGTCAAAAGGTTGTAAATTACGCAATAAATCCATAATCTACATCAGATATACACTAAAACAGTAGCATATATAAGAGTAAACAACAAAAAACTCGCCGACAGCCAAAAAGAGGTGATGCAAAGGCATACCCTGCCATTCATATCATTGATAGCATCAATAGCAGATCTTGGATTCGTAAAAGTGACAAATCCATAGCATTTACCTCCAACTTCCCGGTCATTTATTATCTGCACATAGAGAGCAACAGTGAGAAGAAATGGAACTGAAAATTTTAGAACCAGTTCCTTTTCCAACAATGCAAGTCTTCACTGACTGCATTGGAATACATCAATAACAGGAAAAACATAAAAAACAAAAACAAAAGCAAAAAAAAAATTCTCAAGATAAAGATAGTGTAATAAAGGGAGAGTATATAATGAGACCACTTACCTTTGGTACAAGGTCGTTACAATCAATCTTGACCATTGGATGTGAATTGGGTGGTTGCATTTCCCAAGCTATCAGATTTTACATCGAATGGTTATGGGCAATTGTGACCTCCTTGTATCGAAGGTAAATGGTCTCACTGTATACAATCCCGTAAATAAAAGGATTGCATCATATGCCACCTTGGCATCATGGAATGTAATAAGAACCAGAAAACATATTGGGTACCATCTCTAGCTTTTCCAAACTCTCACTAAGACTCTTGAATATAACTGCTTCAACCCAACCCCCCTCTTCTAGCTTCCAGAAAAGATGACGGAACAAAGGCAATAGCACAAGCATTAAGGAGATTGTCCCTCTATGTAACTAACCTAGCCTTCTACATATATTAGGCTCATTCTACCATGGTTAAAGGACCAAGAAAATACCTCCTTGATCAATCCAATCAAGCCAACCAACAGCCCCAACCACCCCCCTTTTAACAATAGTAGCAGAGGGACCTCATAATGCAATTTTAGCTCATTTCAAGAAAGACCTTGGGTCAAAGGTTGTGAATGCACAATCAATGGCTAAGACCTTCTTAATCAATCCAATCAAGCAACCAACACGCCAAGCCACTGCCCTTCTAATAATAGTAGTGGAGGACCTTATCATTCAATGTTTGTTCCTTTAGAAAAAGACATCAGGTCAAGGTTGTGAATGCACAATCACTAAAAAAACCCCCATTCCCCTAAATTTGGGGAATAAAAAAACTTGGACTAATACAAAAACCCTATCCTTTGCCAAATTAAGAGATATGTAATTTGATTTTATAATTTTAAAAAAAAAAAAACTCCCTGTTTACCAAAAAGGAAAAAGAAAAGGCCCACAAACTGATGAAGGTAGCAAGAAGTTGGTGACAATATTGGCAGCACCAGTGGTGGCAATCTGACTAGGTCGACCCGATCTGAGTCCAAGTCTAGGTCCAAGTTTTGAACTCGTGGGTCAGGTGTAGGTGGTTCAAAACCCTAGATCCAAGTCGGATTCCGTCGAGTCCTCGGTTCCCGTTCAAGTAGACCCGACCCGAACATACATAAACACACACACACACAAACACAATAACTCAACCGTCCAACTTGGTTGGACGACTGCTAGCCCGCATAAAAACCATTTTTTTATAGAAAATTTTTTTTTGAGACGTGGACCCAAACCAAACCGAACTAGGTCAAGTCCGGTCCTGGTCCAAGTTTTGGACCCAATGGGTCTAGTCTGCGTCCAAATCCAGGGACCCGAGTTAAATACTAGTTGGGTCTGGATCCAGGTCGAACCGGACCTGCGCTGGGCCATTGCCACCCCTAGGCAGCACCAAATCAAACAACCCAAGACTAAGAATGGGATTTTTCATAGTACCAAAAAGGACTTGTGAACCAGGAAAGAAGAACAATTTCCTATATAAGTTATATTTGTTGAAAACATCGAGAGTGGCTGACTTTGATGGAAGAATTTCACCCATGAGATCTGGTGAGGTTAGAACACCATTCCATTGATTTAGTTCGACGAATTCCATATAAGTGAGCTTGAAGTTAGAGAAGCTATTGTATGTTGCAAGTAAACAGCTACAAAAAAAGACGTTATTGTAAGTTGTCAGTTACCATGAAATTTTCAAATATGTCCATTCTGATAAGGATGGCCAACAGGTTTGCAATGAGTGCAGGTTGGTCATTCCATTTGTATGCTTCTTCACATGCCAATAGTTGGCAAATCCTCAAAACTAATATCCCTAGCTATAAGAGTAGACGAATCCATAGAAGATGGAGAACATTGACAGCAAACAGTGGCTCATCCCTAACTTATTTGAAGATAAAAAATACATTGCCAACATTGTAATATCTATCATTCCCTGAACTCTTCCCATTGAAGGATAAATCAGTAATATTGAGATCAACAAAAAAGGGGAGACAAGCAAGCTCCCCTCTTTTTGCAAATGCAACTTTCACAACTACTCAGACGTATTTTAAAAGTGCACCAAAAGAACAACTAGGCATCAATTGAAGATAAGAAGATAATCCCCACAAGTCCATAATAGAAGAGTAGAATTTTGTGTAAATTTACCTCCCTTAATTTCATGGTTGAATTGATGCACCCTAGCTTTATTTCCTTGAACGTAGACATATGCATAATATTTAAAAACATCACAGGGTTGTAACTTGCAATGGACATTGCAGGGTCATTCTTATCAGATAAGGACACCCCAATTTTTAAACCAGGACACACAAAAAACTAACTATAGTACCTAATAATCAGTAAACGGAACAGTAGTTGCTTGGACTACCGGAAACTGATAAGCTTTTTTGCATCCACAATTCAACATGAATTTTAAGATAATGAACTTATGTGAGAGCCAATCCATAGTTCACAATGGAAGGAGCATTTCTATCAGTAAAATGTTCCTATAATGCACAGGGAAAATAGAGAGAGAGAGAGAGAGAGAGAGAGCATAGAACTCAGAATATCAGTACCGAGTATCATTCAAAAAGCAAATAAATAAAAATATAGACAGGGAAAGAATTAGTAGATAGAGAAAGAATTACTGTAAAAAACATAATACTTATTCAGCAACAGAGAGCAAATATGTCAAAGAAGCATTCAGGTAACGGAAGACAGAGAAAGAGTAATTATGAACTAAAACAGAATGAGAAAAAACATGATTATTACTAAGAATGACCATGGAATCAATAGGTCGAGAGGGAGAGCACTAGGGTTAGGGTTAGGGTAAGGAACCTTTACGGCTACAACGGCACCATATAGGTCGAAGACCCTGCGCAGGCTTTCTTCCGTTGAATCGTAAGGGATGCCACCAACGTAGATTGAGTTATCGTCATCGATCGTCATATTCAACGCAGAGAGAAGTGGAAAAGCCTAGAGCAACAAAAGGGAAGAGAGAGAGAGAGGGCAAGGGCGCTCTTCACATGGACCAATACAGAATTGCGCAGGTGAGATAAAAGAGAGGAGCGTGGGAGCTCTGACTCTGTATGTTTGATGCTAATTGGTGCGAAATGATGTATAGAGATAAATTGGTATGAAAATATTTTTACACGAAAGTATTTTGGAAAATTTACAATAAAGCCCTCCAAAATAGGGCTCTCTAAGCAATTTAACCCTAAGCTAACTTTCCTAACAGCTCCACCTCAAAAAAACCATTCCTAACAAAATGCAAACAAATAAATAAATAAATAAAGACGAAAATACCCTTTCTGTATATAACCAATCATTTTCATATATAACAAATCATTTTTGAATCCCAATAAAAAAAAAGGTCGGACAACACTTGTATAACGTCAAACTCCTCACTTCAAAATGTTGGACCGCCACTTTAAAACGCATCACTACCCCTTTAAAATGTTTTACCTCCACTTCCGCTATTTTAAAATACCGAACTGCCCATTTCTCCAATAGCATAATCGTTGAACCACTACAATGAAACACTAAACCCGCCCATTCCAGTAAAATAATCGTCAGACCGCCCCTTTCAAACCTTGGACCGCCCTTTTCAGGGAAAATGACAAAATAATCGTCGGACCGCCTCTTCCAAACGTCGGACCGCCTCTTCCAAACGTCGGACCGCCCTCTCCAGCGAAAATGATTTGTTACGTCTCTCCAGCGAAAATGATTTGTTAGGTAAAAGAAAGGTATTTTTGTAAAAAAATTGAACTTTTTGTACTAGGGCTTTTTTTTTTTTTTGAAAAAGTTGCTAGAAAAAATTAAATTGTTTACAAAGTTTTTTTTGGGGGTTTTATGCAAATTTCCCAAATAATTTTTTGACATCGAAAAATATTCTCACACTAAACGGATATTGCTGCCCTAAAAGCTCTTACACTATGCAGTTCAAAGGACTTTCACTATGCAGGAAAAAGTTTACATAACGAGCAAACCCGTCTTTAAGAACCCAAATAAGTAGGTGAAGTGGGGTGGATAGTTCACCCGTACATATAATCACGGCGGGGACTCATGTCACCTTGGAACTAGTTTGGTTCGGGATTGATTCCCAGTTAGATTGGCAATCCTAATCGAAAAACTCTAGGTTTTGAAATATTGGTCTAAACCTTATACTATAGAAATAAGACACACCTCAAAAAAAGAGGTTGTTTTATAGCTAAAAAAAACTTCAAATGGTTCAAGATTTATGGATGTAAAAAAGAAATGATTTCAAGTCTTGAAAGTAGCACATATTGGAATATGTTATCTGGACCGTCTATTTTCAAAATTTTCTAATATTTGTAAATTTGTTGGATCTATGCTATTTTTTAAGCTCTAAATTTTATAATAGATATGAAAATAGATTTGCTGACCTTCGAAGGGATTTCCAACACTTGAACCACATCTGTTAACATCATTTTAGAGTGCGACTTTAATTGTTTAAAGCAATGGTTTAAAAAACGGATCGGTGACTCAGATCGGGCACCTCAAAAACCGATCTGGATCGATAAATCGGCGATCCGAATCGGGAATCGGCGGATTAAAGCTTCAAAAAAATTAACTTTCATTTTTTTATCAATTTGTGAATATTGAGATGTTCTTTCCCTGTATAAATTTATTTTAACTATTAAATTTGCATCACATAAAAGAAAAATCATAGAATTATCATGGATAAAATATATAATTATATATGGACTATTATAAAGAGTAGACTAATCAATGAAAGAATGGCCATTAAAATCTCGTTTTGGCGAAAAACCCTAACCCGCTAAAAAAACCCAAACTATTACAGCCTAACTAACTATAATCCAAAATTATTACAACCTCACTAATTATAATATTATATATTGAAATTATAATTATTAGTTTATATTTTATAATTATTTCATTAGACAAATAATAACAAATTAAAAATATTTTATAATATTATCTAATTTAAAATGTATTACTGACAACTGTAAGAAAAATATTACATAACATGATTTATAATGTAAAAATTCATAAATAAAATAAAAGATTTGGTTATCAATGTAAAAATTAATAAAATACATACAAATTTTGGAAATAACACTTCAATTTTTCAAAAATTTATTTTTTTAGGTTTCTATAATAAATTTATTAAAAGAGATTGTTAGTAGAAAGATGGAGATTTCGAATAGAATAAACTTTTTATTTTTATTTTTTTTATACCTTTCATATTATTTACAAAAATAATTATACCACTATATACAACAAAAATTAACGGTTATATAAAAAATTAATTTTTTTATTTTCCATTTTTTTATGTCTTTTATATTATTTACGAAAATATTTATATTTATACCAACCACTATATACACAACAAAAATATTTATATTTATATCAACCACTATATATACAACAAAAATACAACACATGCGCAAGGGGATTCGAAAACAACAAAAATATTTATACCAACCACTATATACATAATAAAAATGCAACACATGCCCAAGGAGATTCAAATGCAACACATGCCCAAGGAGGTGCCCAAGGGGATTCGACCTTGGAACCTCAAGTAAAAAATTCAAAATCATAACCATCAAGCCATCTAACTACATATGATTATAAATTGCAGATTAATAGACTATATTTACATTTCGTTTTCATTTAATGATGTTTGGGAATTATCCCATATCGAAAGATGGGTATTCAAATTTGGTATATAAATACCTATGCAATATGAATTATAAAATATATATAAAAATATTAGGGCAACCTCGCATGTGCGTTTGGACACACGTGTGCGCGTGTGAGTGTGCATGGGGCACGCTCACATGTGTGCTCGGACACACGTGTGAGTGTGCATGGGGCACGCTCACACGTGTGAGCGTGTGAGCGTGTGAGCATGCGTGGGGCACGCTTGCACGTGCGTGTCATGTGTTACATGTGTGAATCGCGCTAAACCGGTTGGGAACCGGTCGTTCCACTCTAGAACCGGGCTGAACCGGATGGGAACCGATGGTTCCACTCTAGAACCGGGCTGAACCGGATGGGAACCGACGGTTCCACTCTAGAACCGGGCGGTTCCCGATTTTCGGTTAGAACCGGCATGGGCACGCGTGTTTTCGAGTCGAACAGGGCGAGTCCGGTTCGATTCGCCGTTTTTTAAAACACTGGTTTAAAGCATCAATCTTATACGAACGTCACCCTAACATAAACCTATAAATTAACTAAGAGTTATCAAGAATTCAATGTAAGTTGAGAAAACTCAACAACATATATATACTAGTTTTAATATCAAGGACAAAAATAACGAGAAACTTACATAACTATTCTTTAATTTTTTTGTTATATTTAAAAAATTTATTTTATATTTTGTGCTCATATCTCTTTTTTTTATTTTTCTATTTTCTCAAAATAATTCCAAACTAGGTTGGTTGTTTGGCATAGAGATCGGTCGGAAACTTCAAGTTTTGAACTAATGTTTTTCTAAACCAAGGAAATGAACTTTAAATTCTAACTGGTTTGAAACCTTAAGTTCTGAACCAATCTTTACCAAAAAAAAAAGCAAGGAAGTGAACTAGTTCGGACCTTGGAGTCTCTTTTTTTTGCCTTTTGTGAATGAGCAGCTCAAAACTCTAAGTTCTGAACCAATTGCTTGATAAAGATAAAAGACCGGATTTGAAACTTACAATTCTGAACCATGGGTATTTTTAGAAAAAAAATAAAAAAACACGGAAAAACATCACGAGTAGAGAGTATAAGCTATGACAAATGGGGGACTTCTTTGAATCGCACAAAATTTAAGGAATAAAAACTCTCTCTCTATCCCATTGTTATTTCATCATGATTAATCTCTTGAAATGAGACGATGCTCACTATTCTCTATGACTTGTTTTATAATCAGCAATGAGCCATGAATAATCTAAATTATATCACAGACCACTTGAAGGAGGCTATGGTGTCAAAAATCCTTTGTTAAATAGTGAGACCATGCTGAGAGGCCCCTCTCTTTACCTATACATTGCAATCCATGGCCCTGCCTATTTAGGTATGTCAAATATTACATGTCTCATAACCCCTGCTGTCTCCTACTTCTGCATATGATTCTATGCAATGAATCACTCTAAAATTTATAGAATTTGGAGAAATATAAAGTTTAGACAGATTGGAAGGGGTAAGATTGTAGAAAAAGATTCAGCAAATGTTATCGCTTGGAGCAAAAGAGAAGCCAATATTCTTTGGAAATTAAGGGCTACATGAGATTGGAATATTTTATTGGCTACAAATGTTAATCTCCAGCATTGTTACCATGTGGCTTAAAAAAAGTCGATTCTCTTGTCAAAAGAGGAGTTAATTCCACTTCTTTAAGGGTTACCTCTTTCCAATGATTTTTAATTTTATTCTATTGTATAACTCGTACTCTTACTCTCATTAACAGAAGTGTTATGTTATTGTTCAAAAAAAATATATAAAGTTAAACATAGAAGGAACACTGGGCGCCACATTTTTACGGTGCTTTCATTACCATATAACATACCTGTACAAAGGATCATCTCCATACAACATACCTGTACAAACAAAAAAAACAGTACAAGTCATATTTTATACCTTCAATATCATATAAATTTGTATTTTGTTAACATTTTATAATTATATTCAACAAATTTTGAATACATAATAAAATAAATAATAAAATTTTATTGACCATTTTTGTCTATTAAAATTAGTTTTTAAGGCATTAAGAATGCTTATATGGTATTCATCTCTCTCTCTCATGGAAAACCCTAGCTCTCTATCGTCTTTGCCTTCCTCTTACCCCTCTCTCTCCCCTATCTTTTTAACTTGGTTTCATCCTCAGATTCATAAAACACAAAGACAGTTTTCAGTTGGGTTTTCATTCTCAGATTCATAAAACACAGAGACGTGATTTTTCTCACTTAATAGTGCTTATGTCTGTCTATGTGCATCTCTTTGAACTTGAACCATTCATTTTTCTCCCCATTTTCCATAAGCAACATGAAGGCCTTTTCATCTTATGCACCTATGAATTCAATTAAATTATGAGGACCCTCTACTCAATACCCAATCTTTTAAGATGAAAACAACCCCTT